TTCTGCATGTTTCATCACCAAATGTTTGATTTTAGTGACCAGTCCAAATAGCTCTCATCATATCCTTCAAACTGAACCAGTCAAACGTTCAATTATTTTTTTTTAAATTTGTCCCGAAATGGATTACTCAGCTTCCATCATAGCGATTTCATCTTAACATTTCCCAGAATGCATGTGCTGTCCTTCCATCTCTGTTCTTTGCATTGTGTGTAACTGTTTTCTGTCACTGCCATTGGACTCAGTCCAAAGAGCACTGTGAGAAGGCTGAAAAAAATCAATGCGACCGTGACCATTTCCACATGTGCTAGTGAGTACATGCCAGTGACCTCAGTGTGACTTGTTGGTGTGACGGCTGTAACTGCAACCAGATTAGCTCAACCAGGGTAACACTCTGTCAGGGCTTCTCTATACTCTTTAAATTAGCTGGCTGAGGTCTCACGGCATAATAGCCTTCTTAATTTATGACCATGAAAATTATGAATATGATTCCTGGTGGGGGCCACCCATGCTACAAACAAAACATGCAGTCATAGGATGGCTCACACAGTCAATCTGGGTCAAATCCTTCCATCAAATGTCCTCTGAGATTGATGTGTTTTGTCAGGAAAAAACACTGAGCTCACTGTGTTTTTGGAGCTTCAGGTTTCCAATAGAGAGCCTTTCATCTTTTTTTTTTTGGTATTACTGTTATTTTTTTCATTTCCCTTTGGCGCTAGAGAAAACAGAAGGAATGGCCATTTAATTAAGATCTCACAAAGTGCAATGAAGGGCAGTAATTTTTTGGCAGGTTACGATTTTAGCATTCTTAAGCATTTGTATTGTATATATCCAGCCATCCATCCATTTTCTGATCCACTTTATCCTCACAAGGGTTCTAGCTGTGCTGGCGCCTATCCCAGCTGTTTTCGAGCAGTAGGCGGGGTACACCCTGAACTGGTTGCCAGCCAATCACAGGGCACACATAGACGAACAACCATTCACACTCACAATAACACCGAGGGACAATCTAGACTGCCCAGTCAACTTGCCATGCGTGTTTTTGGAATGTGGGAGGAAAATGGAGTACCCGGAGAAAACCCACGCAGGCCCGGGGAGAACATGCAAACTCCACACAGGAAGGTCGGAGCCGGGATCGAACCCTGCACCTCTGCACTGTGAAGCGGACATGCTAACCAGTCGAACACCGACACCATATTAAAGGGAACAACACACCCGACAATTATGGGATGACGTCTATAGGGCAGAGCTGAACCCACGCTGCCTGCATGGAAGTCAGTCAAATGTACCAAAACACTCAGTGAGCTATTTTGTAAATCTGTCGTATATATATATGGAGTGGATATATATATGGAGTGGATGACTCACCTGAAGAATAATTGAGGTGCAGTGTTTGATTGAGGACAACATTTGAAGAGCTGCACTCGGTTGTTGCAGTTTTTGACATTCATTTGATGAAGTGGAGCTCACCAAAATATGAATTGATGCACAGCTTTTAGTTGAGGGGAGGCCAATATTTGAAGAGATAGAGTACAGTATTTTTGGGGACATATTTTAGTGGGCAACGTATACCGAATGATTAATTGAGACTTGGCATGAATTACAGTGGAGGCTATTTTTTGAAAAAGTGTGGTATATCGTACTGTAGTTGAATATGTCAGGTCGACATGATAAGTGAAATGTGAAAAGGTGCGGTGTATTTTTCATTTTGACATGACACTCAGTAAATTGCATGTCCTCCCTATGCCTGTGTGGGTTTTCTCTGGGTTCTCCGTTATTTTCCCACATTCCAAATCATGCGTGGCAGGTTAATGGAACATTCTAAATTGGGCCTAGGTGTGAGTGTGAGTGTGAGCGCGAATGGTTGTATGTCTCTGTGTGCCCTGCGATTTGCTGGCAACCAGTTAATGGTGTCCCCCGCCTACAGGCCAAAGACAGCTGGGATAGGCTCCAACACGTCCCGAGACCCTTGTGAGGATAAGCAGATCCGAAAATGAATGGATGGGTGGATGTTCTCCCTGTGTCCCTTTTTCCATGTCTGTCTTGTTAGGTTTTTGTGTCTACCTGTTCTCGTGTTGAGCCCAGTCCCTTGTGTCTGTCTGTCAGTGAGTTCCCTCAGCCACTCATGCCTTGTTCAGGTGTTCCTCATTGTCTCATCACTTTGCTTGTATTTGGTTTTTTTTTTGGTATCCAGCGGTTGTTTGCTTCTGTTTCTGTCTGGCCTTGTTCCCAGTTGTGGAGAGTCCTTTCCCAATTTTGGTTTGTTACTTTGTATATTTTGGGACTTTTGTTAATTTAGTAGCTTTCATTCCAAGTGCCTTGTTTGCTTTTTTGTTTCTTTGTAAATGCATTCCTTTTTTGTTTGAGAACATCCTGAATTCCTTCCTTGCCTCTCCTGCTTCCTGTACTTGGGTCCTAACTCCTCCATGTAAACCCGTGTCATAACAGAATGTGGAAACAAAAAAACCTAACCAAGGCAGGACACAAGCCATGAGAAAACAAGGCACAACATGAAACTAAACTAAATCACTTTTTTTTTTTAAATGACAAAAACACAGATCCTGACAAATTCAGTCCAAAATACTTTTTTCGGCGAGTTGTTGTTTCCATACCACAGTTAGTACCACAAAACACACTTTTGACCTCAGATGCAGAGAGAACAACCCGTCAAATTTGACCCAGATTTATTATTGAGGTAGTCAGTAGTGTGTTCTTTGAGGTAAGCGGCTTAAGAAGGAATACAAATACGTAGCAGAGAGGGAGGTCAGTGGTGCACGGTGATAAAATAGTAAGACGGAGTGTTTTGCATTGCGGTGGTGGATGGGGAAAGCCCAGCAGTAACCTCCAACAGTTACTTTAACAAACAGCAGCCAGGAGAGGCGACCACAGAAAGTACCACAGCCATAACACATAAATACACATATGCATTGCCCGCACATGCAATACATTACCCTGCACATGCATGACATGTGAGAGGAGGTGCGTTCTGGATTTATTTTGAAGCAAATATGGGAGAAAGCATGCAGTCACGTGTGACCACACAAGGCAACAATGGAACCATTTAACAATGAGGACGCATCTCGGCCAACGGGAAAGTCCGCAGAGCCAATGCTGCAACCGAAAGGAAGCGGCCTGTCGGCTGACATCTGGTCTGCATGTGTCCTTCGTGGTCTGCATGGCTGCATGTCAAACACGCTCGCTAACTGACTGCTTCTCTTTCCAAGTCTACGGCAAGCTGTTCAAGAAGATTCACAGCCAATTAGAAAATGAATAAGTAGGCTCAGTGAGTATGGCAGGGTAATTCTCTAGAAGTTGTGATAAAGTGCGTAGCAGTGCCCAGTTAGTACTGCTGTCTCACATTCAGAGGATTTGGGATGTCTGCTCTAGATTTTCTGTTTGGACTTTCTTCTCTCTGTGCTTGCTTGGGTTCTCGTCAGGTTCTCCTTTTTTCTCACACAGTCGCCAAAGCATTTATGTTAGCTTTATTGACAGCTCTAAATCATTGAGTCTCAAGACTGAGGTCCCCAGACTTTGAGGGGTCCGTGAGTTGTGGCTTGGGGGTTTGCAAATTTACAATAAATGTTGTCAAATCATTTATAAAAGTACATACATATGTATAAGGACCATCCATCAATCCATCCGTTTTCTGAACCGCTTATCCTCACAAGGGTCGCGGGGCGTGATGGAACCTATCCCAGCTGTCTTCGGGTAGTCGACACCCTGAGCTGGTTGCCAGCCAATCGCAGGGCACACAGAGACGAACAAACATCCGCGCTCACACTCACACCTAGGGACAATTTGGAGTGTTCAATCAGCCTGCCATGCATGTTTTTGGAATGTGGGAGGAAACCGGAGTACCCGGAGAAAACCCACACAGGCCCGGGGAGAACATGCAAATTCCACACAAGAAGGCCGGAGCCGGGATCGAACCCACGATCTCTGCACTGTGAGGTTGACGCGCTAACCACTCGCCCACCGAGCCGCCTGTATAAGGAGCAGTGTGGCAATAATAAAAAATGTAATTAAATACTCTTGACCAATTCCATCTCCTGACTTAAGCTTTGAGCCAATTAAAGGTGCTATGACGTATAATCGCGCAAAAGCCGACATTTGTGCTGAATACTTTTCTTGTTTGTTTTTTATTTTAAAATAAAAAACATAGCCTACTATTACATGAATACAGTCCCATTTTCTTTCCAGGAACAAAAGATAGATACCAGAAGCTAACACCGTGAAAAAGGCTCATGTGTGCATTCAACAAAAATCACTGCAGCTTTGCATATGTTTTGGTTTTGACGTCGTGTTTCACCTGTCTGTGTGTGCACTGCAAATGTATACTGCTTGTGTGAAACCACCATTGTTGCTTTAAACTGGCTCTGGATGTTTGGAGGTGGTTATGTACATTAGCTTCAGCAATTATGTAACAGTGGGGCACTCACAGACACATTTTTAGAAATCAAAAGATTGACTTGGTTGCCTGATTTCACATTTGATGGGTATCAGGCACTCCAGAGGGGAAAAAGCTAATAAGTCCGTTTGTCCGCTTCAAGCAGCTAGATTAAAACATCTGCCTCCACTTAGTTAATCATTTAGCGTATGATGAAAATATGCCAAAGAAGCACTGAAAAATAATGAAGACTAACAGGCACAATGAAATCACAAAACAACGATTACAGCTTGTTTGGCATCGATACAATATGACTAATTGTTGCTTTAGAAGTGCCAGTAATGATGTAGCTCATGTATGCAAGGATTCATCTCCATGAATGATTTTCTTCTCGGGCTCTTTAAATCACAGTAATTGGCTGGAGGCCAGCGAGTCCACCAGGAGCTGCAACTTTACAGCTCTGACCTTTTCTTCAACTCGCTCTTACTGGAAGCCTTTGGGCAGTCCAGTGCTCCAGCATTCAGAAATATTTCCTGCTTGAGCCAAAAAACGATGAGATGTGCTCGAGATGGCCTTTCTTCGTCACACATGTTGATCATGTTTATCCTTGGTGCAGCTCTTCACAGCCTCCCTCACCTGGGCCTTCCAGCAGCAGGCTGAATTATCCAAGTACCAGTACCGCGACCCGGTGACCTCTGACCTCCTCCTGTGTGACCAGTGTCCCCCTGGCACAGCCGTGAAGAAACATTGCACTGCTGACAGGACCACAGAGTGCCAAGCTTGCCCGGAGAGGCATTTTGCAGACAGTTGGCACTGGGGGGACTCGTGCCAATACTGCACCTTGGTAGGTACTGCGGTGGTAAGTAATGAAGTACAAATACTTTGTTACTGTACCAAGGAATCTCTCTCTCTCTCTCTCTCTCTCTCTCTCTCTCTCTCTCTCTCTCTGTGTATATATATATATATATATACACACACACACACACACACACACACACACACACACACACACACACACACACATATATAT